ATATATATATATATATATATATATATATATATATATATATATATATATAATCACGTCTGAATCTAGACTGTGGCAAACAAATCACGGCACAATAATGTTTATGAAAAAGAAACACGTTTCATGATTTGCATGTGGGCTGAATAATTCCAGGTTACCCAGGCCAAGGCAGATCAATTTTCTTGAGGGATCCACAACCGGAGCCTTCGGATAGCCAAAGCCTGACTCGTAAGGCAAGGGGGCAGTGTGCGAAACCGCAATCCACTGCGGCCGGAGTCCAGTTCATCGAATCATACGGCCTTTGAACGGGGTCAAAAGTCCAAGGTGCTTAATACACCTCGATGCCCAATCAAACCAGTGGCCACTGCTGTAACCGGGAAGGTGGTTTTGGTTCTTGCGTCTCTTGGTTGGTTTGGAATCAAGGTTTTTGGCCAACTCCCCTAGGTGAACTACCAGTGGTCCACCACCCCGGTTATAGCCCCGGATATCGACTTTTTGTCTTCTCATTTTTGTGGGAGACAGTGAGCAGGGTTTCTTCAGCAGAGGCAATTTGAGACGCCTGGTCGTATGGGGAAATTTCGCGAGGTACAAGGGCAGGATAACCAGCCGTAACCCTAGACACTCACCCCCGACCATACTGAGGCTGTAGGATGCAGTCACCATCAACGCTGAATTCAATTTCGACAAACAAAAAGCTGATGGTAGAGTCCAGCTATGTGACTTCCACTCTAGGAAGCAGTGATCATGCAGTACCTTCATCCAAATGCATTTTTCACGCCCCTATTCCAAGAAGTTCTCCAAGCAACACGCACAGATCCATAAAGTTGCGCTCTCAATTCAGTGGGTCTCCCATGACGAAGAACCCAATCAGATGGTTTCCTGGCAGAAATTAGTGACAGTCTTACACATATACCAACACTAGTGACTAAGACCAGAGTAATCACCAAATCAAAGATCCGAAAGTTATCTATTCAAAGTCGCACAGAGAAATGGATATATATATATATATATCGTCACTTGGGAATAAAATTGTCTCAACAAGGTAAAATCACATCATGGGTTATCAGAAACGATTCCGTCATGGAACCAGAAATCGGATTCACCGCGAGCACAGACATATTTAATGATCGATCGAAATTCACCAATTCGACGGAAAAGGACGACACGGCCCAATCGGAAAGGGTGCTCTCTAAGATTTTGCGATGCCTAAAACGTATTCATTGATGAGTCCATTTTCGAACGTATTGGGTCAACCAGGACTGTGATTCCGAGGTTGTATGGATTGCCAGAAGTACTCAGAGCTGAAGTACCATCACGACCGATTTTAGATGTGGTATGGTGATGGCGCAGAGTCTTAGTTGCTGTCACCGGCGTGCTTTGGATCTTGTGATCCGAGGTTCGAGCCCCGCCACCCAAATTTGATGGTAGGCAACCCTGCTGTCGTCGGGTTCAATGCCACGCCTAATCTAGCGGGGCCTTATATGGTTCGCCACTTCAAGTCCTGGGGCTTTGGTTGCCGGTTTCCATCATTAAAAGTAGCAGGTCCTTGTGACAATCTGGTTCACCCCGTCTACTGTTCATCATATTTAGGTGTGTAATTAAACAATTAAAAAGGCTCGCTGTATCATTCTCCGTCTAAATTATTAGAACCCGAGTTGGGTAGGCAAAACATTGTCAAAGATACATTTGCTTTTGTGAACAACATTCGTGGCATAAACTCGGTCGATCGATCGAACGATGCTCTCACTGAACGTTAGCTCACTGTTCACAGTTGTTCTCATTAGCGAAACGATCGAATACTTTTGCAGTTATATACAAAATAATAATGTGCATCTCTGCCTCCCTTTCGATGACCTAAAACAACTTTATTTTTGCACGTGTAATGTTTAGTTGAAGTTCTACGATGAGATCTATTTACAAAAGCTTAAACATGGAATCTTCGCTGGAACCACTTGACGCGGACGTATTCATGGCGAAACTTGAAAACGCTCGTTTTGTTGCCTAGCGGACAGGGCAAGAAAGATTTGCAATGGAAGGAGTGCTCCGTGATATAAGATCAAGCTTTGCACGTAACGGGTATCCGGAATGTTTAGTCAAAAAAACAGTCAGTGCATGAAGAACTCTTTACAAAACACCGCTGTCGGGAAAAAGTCCGTGTACATTTTTTACCGTTCAAGGGGGGCACATCAGCTGAGAGCATACAAACATTATCCGACCCAATCGATAAGAATTTCTTTATATTCAAGCTTCGTGTGTTGTTCACACCCAAGCTCATTGTGTCTTTGCGAATAAGGCACTATGTTCTAGAATCTGTGGTCTCATTCTGTATTCACTCATTTACTTGTTCCTCTGAAAGAAAGTACACAGGCAACAAGGTCAGGTGATTGTCCAAATGGGTTCATGAACACCACACTGCGTGGTTGAGCACCGGAATTTTTTTAGTAACTCACCAGTGCAGTGGTTTCACACCTAGCTGAAACAAATCACGTGGCCGAGGCTTTCTGACTCCTGTATAAACTTCGTGGGCAATTATCGAGGCAAGTTCGCTGACGGATGCTAGCCACGGCAGAAGCGGTGGGCATTCATCTGCTTGACCCCCCCCCACTGTATACCCTAAAACAAATTGTGCACGCGTTAAAGCTTCCCTAACCCATCCACACCGTACCACGAGTAATCTCGATGATCAAATAAGTGAACACATATCTGTGATCATGATGAATCCGATTTCCGATCTCACGATGAAATCGTCACTATTCATCCGTGATGTTATGTGATTTCATCATATTTCCCTTGACAATTTTATTCCCAAATGGTGACATATATTGTGATGTATTGGCATAAATACGAATCACTGAAAACGAGGTTCTTCTCCAATTTATTGTTTTGCTTGAATACTGCTAGTTCTTTCACTGCATCTTTATACTATTGTTAAGCATCTTATCAAGTGTATTTCAATGTCAAAAATCTCGGAGCAATTGCATTTGGTTCTAAGGAATCGGTATTATTCGAGACCATGTCTACCTCAATGGCGTTAGTTACTACCTATAATGAACTCACATCATGCAATGATTCATTCCAAGATTCACGCCTGAATATGTCGACCTCCTATTTACCTTTTGCTTTGGAGCGAATAATTCCCGCCGGAGGGTAAGTCAGCTTGGATGTCTCTAATAATGGTGGCCCATGCGTGATGATCGGCATCAAGGTTGAGGCAGTGGTAGACCCAGTTCTGGTTCCAGTTATAAATTCCATATACGGATTGGAGACCAAGTAATTCTCGGTCCGCTTTGATCGTACTGCTCCAGGTATTCAGTTGATTACCAACTCGACAACGCCATCTACTGCACGGTGCAGGGGCTACAAGCTGCCGCGAGAGTTGAGTGTCCGGCCTTCAGGACACATGAACGAACCACTGAAGACGCCGGTGTTGTAGCATTTTTGATGTTCAAGCAGCGCCTTTGAACCTCATCATTGAAAATCCTCTCTCTCCAATTTACATTTGAGATGTGGCGTAAGCACCATTGATCAAAGACCTCGAGCTTCTTTGTATCTTGTACTTTTAGCTGTCATGTTTCACAACTATAAGTGAGAATGGGGCAGATGGAAGTCCGATGAATCCTATGCCTAATGTTTTAGCTTATATCGCATCAATTCCACAACGGTCTGAGGAGTTGCTGGAAGGCTCTTATAGCTCTATCTGCACGAAGTTGAATTTCATCCTTAGCCTGGTCTGATTGTAAATCCAAGATACGTGAAAGCTTCGGGTGACCGATTTATTGATCCATCTTGATGTGATTTGCTTTCTTATCCGCCGGTTTCACTCATTCTCGTCTTAATCTCACTCGATCGACGGTCAACTACATCACTTTCCGGGATGGGGGACAAGCATTGAAACCTTTTCCCCATAGAAAATTTCAACCTCCCTCGGTTACTTTTGTTTGTCTATAGAAAAAATCAGTTCCGATTGGACGAGTCCAATCGACGAGGTGTGACGGCTGAAGCACCAATCACTTTTTGGGGTCCCTAGCAGAATATGATTAGTGGTATTCACTTGAAGTTATCAGGGTTTCATTTTAGGTTGAAATAGCCATTGATTAGTTGCTCTCATTGAACGGTGTAACAATTAATCGGCGTTCGATGCAGGCAGTCTAGGCTCTCACTGTGTGTTTTTAGAGACTGTCACATGTGTACTAACGTAGAGACGGTGAGATACATACTACCAAATAATCGATCGTGTACAGAACATGCACACGTGAAGATAGCTACCGAGAATCAAAGTTTGGTCAGTAAACTTCGTAAACAAACGACTGAGAACAACAGAAACTTGGACTGTTGGTATCAGTAGATAAAACGGATTCAACATAGATTAGTTTTGACAATCGCTTTCAGCATGTTTTATCGACTGCCGCGTGGTGTTCAATTTTGTAAATAGCAATACCTCCGGAATACTTCGAAAATAAACGGGACGCTGGGAACGGTAATCAACACCCCGAAGTCACTTTACAGGGAAACCCAAATGGAAATTTGCGCCTACGGGGAATAAATAGGGGAATTTTACTTGAACTGGGAAGTCCGACAGGAATACCCACTGTGGTCGGTGTTTTCCAACTTCACCATCGACTGGATTATAGGACGTACATGGGGGGATTATCATAGTGTTTAAAGAAGCCCTGGTACGTGGACTATCGTTTTTGAATTTGCGGGCGTTGTATTCATCTATAATCAAGCTTTGTAAACAATAAAACAGCCAAAAGTATACTTCCGATGAGTAATCAGTCGCCTAAACATCACATTTTATTCTACTTTATTTCACAGAGTGTGAAGTAATAAATTTCGATATTTATTAACCTTAGATCCTCATGACCCTAGTTGGTACACATTTGAATTCTCATGGTTCACATTTTGGTCGAGATCGGTTTAGGTTGGCAACCCCACTTTCAACACGCACACTTTATACTATGACGGACAGTCAAAATATGTATTTCTTCGCGTTGTTTACAGCTCTCTCAACGTTCCACAAGTAATCCTCGCTGTGGAGTGCATTCCTCGTCTAATCTGATCCCAATGCTCATGGATACTACAGCGCTGCAGCGCGTTTAGCTCTTACCCTAGTTCTGATTCAAAACGGGCACGAAAGACTGGGTCAGATAAACCTTGATCTGCCGATCGAGTTTGATGGGTTTTTTTGCAATCAGTGAGTTGGAGCGTGAACTGCATCACTACTAATACATGATTGAATTCAACGCTTGTGATCCAATAGGACCTGCATTTTCGTACTCAGCCACGCCAACGGTAGCTTACTGTTATGTGGTTGATTTCAGTTGGAGCACCACTTTGCTGTCCGTTGGCAGCTGTGCCGAAAGTAACTCGAGGGCCAATTCAGGGTACTTAAGTGGCTTATGGTACTGGGCTCCTGGATTCGCGTCTTCGTTACGCAGCAGACATCAATTCTCAGAAAATCCACTGTACGCTGCAGACAAGCTTGTTGACCAACCAGCATCAGAGTCCGCGCGTTGAAGGCCCCAAGGTAGAGGGGTTGACAAGGTTTCGGAATCTGCAATCTCTTGCAATTTAAATTATCCACAACGCTATTAGGCAACAAACTCGGGCGATTGTTTAACAAGTTGTCTGGGAGAATGTAATGGGTCAGATGTAGGAGTAAATAGAGAGGGTTTCGTACGGAAGAAAACGAGTTAAACAAAGGTTTAGGATGTCTGAGTATTAGCCCACCTATCACTACCCACCCTGCTCGATGCAGCGCGGTCCTGATTATCCTGCGCCTCAACCGATGCAGTGTAGACTTTCTTTTAGTTGGTGTATGCATTAGAGTTTGATGGACGGGTGCTGTTAGAATGTCTATCCACTAAGTAAGATATTGATTTGGGTTCTTGTCCAAAACCTTAGTTTTATGAAGGACCCAACCGCAAGGCAGCGGATAAAACAAAGTAGAGGCTCATTTATTTGGATCGATTACTTCCCTGTCATCGTATCGACTGAGACATTAACTCGAGTCAAACCCTCAACCTGTAAAACCAGGAGACATAACTTTATCTGCCCCCTACTCTCAAACTTTCCAGGCACGCTAAGATCTCCTGGTTTCATAACAGTCGTCGTTGGGTTATAAAACTGCACAAACTATCACACCACGTCAATGTGCAATCTTTTTGTGATGGTGATCTGGTGACTAGGACGCCAGGGTTTTCCTCACTGTCTGTTTTAAAATGTTTTTTTCCTGTTAGTGATTGAGTTTATATTTACGTGACTGCTTTTTTACATATTTATAGATTCCAATGATGTGCTGTCCACGACAAGTTCTGTTTCGGTTGGATCCAGTAATTTCTTCCTTGGGAAGCAGCACTCCAATTGGTCTCCAGTGAGTTCCGTCGATACTTCTGGTTCCCGACGCATTGAACAGTTGAATGGTCAGAATAATTCGTTCCCTTGCTGGAATACCTCATTCGGTGACGGGCATCCTGACCGCGGACAGTGGTGCTTACATGGTAAACTGGGTCTTGAAGGCTCCAATTCTACAGATTCAAGTCCGTCGGATGGACGTCGACGTTTTGTCTCTGGGTCAGTTTTTTCATGCCTTGTTCGGTAGTCATTCACATTGTATCATAGCTTCACAATCACACTGAACATGTTTGCCGAGTAAATCACACCTCGCAACTTTTTAAGCTGTCATCATTCATGTTTAAATGATAGTCGCGAAAGCTATTAATCATGTCTACTTGTCTGTATACCTCGATCTGAAAGCAGGCTGCGACTCAGCCGACCGCTCTAAACTCCCGCGCTGCGTCTCTCTGAAGGCTGTGGTCGAGAAGCTTATATCAGTATTACATTCCCTTTACACTAATAACCAAAACTGTGTCCAATTTTACGGCAATTTATAGCCCGAGTTCACCACGGAAAGTGGTGTTCGTCAGAGTTGCCCTCTTTTTCTGTTTAGCTTTTTATATATTTGATTATGTGAACGACTCTATCTTTGTGCGAAGGTAGTATTGTCCACTTGCCCCCAGATGGCAGACTGTCTGATCTGGAGTATGCAAGTCAAGTCAAGAAGCCGCTTTAATTCTCCCTATAAGGGGTGAATATTCAGCTACTACACAATCACTCTTCTTTGGAAATTATATGGTAACAAAACGTATGATGATACGTTACATATACAAAAATTCAATTTAGCAAAGATTTTGTCTAAGAGTCTCAATGACAAGATCAGCGTTGGTAAGAAACCGTGCCAGGTACGGTATTATAGAAGACTTGTATGTATTGGTGCGTGCTGCTATATGTTTATACATGGAACGAGTGCTAGATGTGGAGACACATTGACTAAGATGAGGGTACAGTGGGGAGATAGGTCAAGTAGTATTCTGGTAGAGTTTCTGGCATGCCCTAAGGTGCTGTGAAATAATAAACTGCACAACATACTCAAGGG